GTCAGTTTTTTCGGGCTACCTGTTTTCAAAGACAATAATCTCTTTAGTATTGACACATGATGTACATGATGAAAACAAAATGTATGAGTGAAAGAGGTCTATCTGAATTTTTGTTCACCTAATGCAGCCTAGCAAATCTTCACCATTCATACACCCAGGTGTATGTGGTCACAACAGCAGGCTGCATAATTCCCCTGTCTAATAGAAAGGAGTTTCCAGTCATTGCAATTTTCTCTTTAAGTGTACGACTGTCATTGGTGAAGAACCCTTCGTTCCCAGCGAACTTTGTTTTACTGGATGGTTTTCCCTTGATGGAGGGCTCTTCTTTGCTGTACAGTTTTTCTTTCATGGAAGAATATTTGGTGAAAAACTGCTCATTTCTGGGAGGGGTGGGATCTGGCCAGGTGTTAGGACAGCCACACTTATCTTTGCTAATGTCCATATCACTGCACCTCCACCAAAGTTCGAAGGATTTTGTAAACAGCAATGGATCGTGTTCGAAAAACTTGTAAGCGCTCACAAGTCCGCCTTTGTCTAAATGAGTCAAGCCAGCATTGTCGAGATGGTATAGTCCTTTATCGAAGTAATATGCAGACAGGAAGAAGTCTTCAGTGCCAGAGGATAGCCAAGTTGTTTTGTTACTTCCATCGATATACGATCGCATACAGCCCTCTAGAAAAACAAGATTAGAACTGCTGGCAACTAATGTCACCATGAACAATGCGCCAGCAGAGTTATTGGCGTATGCCAAACGAAGGAACTCCAACGGTTTCAGGTGCACGTCTTCGTTCTTATAGAGCCTCAGCCTTGTATGTGACGGCAGAATCAGATCACCCAACACCAAAGGATAATTCTCCACCCCTCGGATGATGTACCAAAAGTAACCAGAATCGGTTGTGGTGGCAGTCACTCGGAATGATTTACTAAACGGTATGCGAAAAGTGTTGTAGATTCCACCATCAGCCGAATGAGCGATTCGCCGTGTCCCCCATGGAATGTTTGCGAGGTCGTCTCTCTCGGAGAATCCTAATCCATGAGCGAGGAAGAGATTAAAATCCAAACTTGCCTCCACTTCACTGTCGATGTAGATTCTTATTCTTGTATCTTGATTCATCGTGAGACCGGTAAACCATTGCTCCGTAATCACACCCGGTTCCCCAGTGTCGTGTTCGTAGAGCGTTTTCTCTACGTTTGGGTGTATAAAACCGTTCTTTATGGCATAGGAGAAAGACTTCATCTTTGAATTGACAGAAACAAGTGCCCATGTTCCTTGCAACAGGCACACAAGAAGTACAATTCGTATTACGGCCATAGTTGTACAACATGAAAAGAGGTAACCCAACGCGAGTACCTTCAGTATTACGGGATCGTCATAAGATAGTCACATGTTTCGGTTTTTCAATGCGCGATTATCGCTAGGCTCGATTACCAGTAGACTGCAAAACAGTCGTATTTTTTGCGAACGCGAGAGACGGTCAATATTCGAACGAAAGGTCTGGAGCGAGTGTAAAAACGNATTTTTTTGCAATGTGTGGGTTCGGCGTGATTTTGTAATCGGAGGTTTTTGTTGACCCCGAAGGAAAAATATCCGGAAAAGGTCATTTCATCGATGATTAAAACGAATATAAATATGTATATGTTCCGAGCGAAATTTCTGCTGAAAAAATATAATTTTTGACGAACGCTGGGTTTTTAATTTTTTCCCCACGAAAGTCAGTATCAGAGATGAGATTTATTAATGTTTCAACAGCTTTTGGCGAGTAAACGTCACTGGTTGCGTGACTCAAAACTTGGCCGAGTGAAAGCTTGGGTCTGGTCACCTACAAATCGAAAAAAAAACCATGGATAAACCATGAACCGCGCTCGGCCCATGGCCGCGTGGTTAAAAATATTCTAGTGCTACTTTTTCTCTACATTCAGAGGCAAAAGAGCATGCAAAAACTTTTAAAATATAGAGCCAGGCTGTGATGTAGCTCGTGCATAAGTCCATGCATAACCAAGATTTTGCTCTGAAAATTTGCATTTTGGTGGCACATCAATACAATATCTGAAGTTTAGCAAATGGAATTGATGATTCTTGCTATTCTCATTAACTGTCTGATAGGCAATTTGAAGACAAAATAAGGAGAACTTAAATGTGGATTGAATCACGCCCACGTTCAAAGTGTCACCATTTTGACAAGAATGGCAATTAGGTACAATAGCCTTCTGATTTCAATCATTTGCCCTGCTTTGAACAAGGTCGTGAGAACATTCGAGCTCTGTCTGTATAGCTCCTATGGCATCTTCCGGAAGGTTATTTGTTGGTTAGATCCCGAAACAAAATTTAAATTTTATTCATGTAAACAGCAAATGAATTCATGTCTCAGTTTCCACACAAACAACGTACATGTAAATTACACCCGGGGAGCCACTTCGATATAAAATATACAGTATAAAAAAAACTAAATACGTTCCTTTTGAAATGGACTATAGAGACAGACCTGCGCCGGTATTGTACGAACATGTCTTCCCACAAAGATCGAGTCATACTCAAATGTAAATCCAGTACACAAAAGCGAAGATATAAAGCTTAGGTTAAAATTTTATGCCGTGTACTTAGTAGTTTAACTCAGCACAATGTAATTCAGGCACACGATTCTTACATTTAGACGAAATCAAACAATTCATTCGCTCGTTACATAGCATATGTCGTGAAGTTGAATGACACACACATGTATTAGTCGTAAAGATAATTTCTAGGGCAGTTCTAAACAAGGCAAAATAGTCCAAATGAGATGTGTGAAGCTCAAAAGCTGAGCCGGAACTCGATAGCGAGTTGACAATATCACGCACGAATTTCAAATCTAAACCAAATAAGTTTACATTTAACAAGAAAGTTTAAACGATGGTTTTTATATCGAAAAGAAAATGTGGATGTCTTCGATCAACCAGGCATATAAGGTTTAATTCGTCTCTCATGGTGGAGAAAGGGCAGCTGGAGGTTTTCGAAATAATCGTCAATAACTACATGAAAGAAAGCTGACTCACGTTGTGCCCAAACTAACTTAAACTCAATTTGCGGTAGAACAACCCCTAGCGCTAACTACGATCTACAATACTGTTTTAAAAATATTTCATCAAGCTATTTTGTTAACGATATAACTATTTCCTTGATGAAAACCGTGGATTCCAGAACCTATCAAAAGTCGGCTTGAAACTGACCTCACACTTTACGAGTAGAAGCTGTCTGTGTGATCGAGCTTAAACGAATCAATTGTAGCTACTTTTGAGGTAAAACCAACAAAGATGTATATGATATAAAGACCGGTGACTCATTCTAAGCCACAATTCCCAAAAACACAAACTAATGTAAGGGAATTATCTACCGATTCAATTTGAGTTGAGAAGACAAAATTGTACAAACAACAGAAACTCGAGCTTATTCTGGCAGCGAAAACACAGAGTCTTTACGTTAAGCCATGGCTTACCTTTCCACAGGCACCTCAGAATAACTGGGTACAAAAATCCAAGCTTAGACTCGTTGAAAATAGCTCCGATCTAGGAAAACAGTGCTGTAAAGTTTGAAAGCTGCTCGCCGAGTCAACGGTTGATATGAGCGGATTGTATGGCATCTCCGGCTGGGCGCGCCATGATCACGTGATCGATGACGTAATTGTTTGCATGATGACTGAATATCTATTTTATAGTTTTCGCTTTTACCACGCTTTACTATTCGTCATAAAATCATCTCTTATTTTAAGGAACCGGCATTGATGATGACTTAATCAACCCATATTCATTCAACAGCATTTTCCCAACATTTTAAAGAAAAATTCGTAACCTGTAGAGAAATCTCTTGCTCGGATAAATTTCTGCTTCGCGTGTCAAGAGAAGCCATATTCACCGCTCGACAAGTTTGCTCTTATATTTGACAAGTGATCATTTTATTAGTATAGTTCAGAGAAGGACTTTTATGGCATCAACTCTCGACTTAAGCTCACATCATGAGAACTGTAGTTTAATAGAAAGAGAAAGCTTTCAACCTAACTGGGCGTTGAAGACTAATCAATAAGTTTCCGCAAGCAAGTCTGCTCATTAGCTTTAATATCCTGCATTTCAGCCACCTCCTTTGTCTAAAAGCAGCGCTTCGTTCTTCTTAACCTGACAAGCAAGAAGGGAAAACGAAGCGAGTGAAAATTGCGGGGCGAACAATTGTTTCCCCTAGCTTTTTCGCTCGACATATAGTAGGGGCAAAGAGGGCGGACTGCCTGTAGCTAGGCTACTACCTTCTATTGTCATGGAATTCAGGCTTCTCACACGATTTAATCTGTTTCCAAAGTGAACGTTTACAAAGAGAAACATTTGCTATTGTATTTAAAGGAAAGCATAGCTTGCGGACCATACATAATTTATGAATATAACGGAAAACCAATTCCGGAAGCATAATATTCACCGGTAGATGTGCTACTGAAACGTCATCAAGCAGGAAGAAATTCAAGGATGGGAGTTGATCACAACAACATTTCAACACAATTAATTGCCAAGCAGTGTATACTACAACCTGAACTGGTTCCTCGACGTCATCTTAAATATAATTGGCGGGCAGGGTAGCTGAATGGTGACTTAATTCTCACAATATCAGTTTTTTTAATTTTTAATTTTTTATTGTTTTTTTTTAACTGATTTTTTTTTCCTGGACAACCATGAAAACTCCTGGGACAAGTCTCGCCAGTCAAAATCCACCCTATCGCTTCACGAAATGGCCAAGCAAGTAAAAGCACAACATAACTATATAGCGTCAAAAATGTAAGGCAGCCGGTACGCCGGAGGCATTTGAAAACGCAGCTTTATTTCTACGGTTAGGCTTGTACCGTCCACACTAATTAATCCGCCACGAAAACGGAGCTTTTTGAAAACGCTCTTCAAACCGGAGGAATTTGAAAACGCCGGATTTTCGTTTTCGTGTGGACTGAAAACGTTTTGAAAACGAAGCTTTTCGGAAGCGATGGCGTCAAGATAATCATGTCATTTCCCTATCAACCGAGTTTTCCTCAAACACAAATTCAACTGAAATGACCGGTGATTGGAGCGCGTATTCAAATCCCTCCGGCGTCTTGTGGATGGAAAACATATGATTCGTTTTCAGAGTAAAACCTCCGTTTTCAAATTCCTCCGGCTTAGTGCGGACGGGGTCTTTGAAGTCGTGCATTCAATCCGTCCGCTTTGAATCAATTAAAGTGAAGTAGCTTGGCTCTCGAAAAACTCCTGACTTTGGATGCTATATCTGCATTACAATTGATATTATTCAGATTGCGGTTTGTGAACCAGTCATGGTTGACAAAAGTTAAACAATACAACGATTGAAAATGTTTGTTCAGGGATCTGTCCACGCCCAAATAAAGAATTTGTGGACCATTTAACTTGTAAATTAAACATAACTGTACGCGCAAATTGATGATCTATGCGCAACTTCTCCTAAACTTGTAGCAAACAACACGCAACAAAGATGCGCGTTTACGAGCTTGCGCGTAACTGCGTTTTCCCACTGCACAGGAAGCTCTGGCATTTCACGACCGTAAACCGGATCGCGCACATTATCAGCCTAAGCATGGCAACGCACGTTTTTATTAGGAGTGACAACAATGTAACGTTAAAGAAAACAGTGACATTGTTACTCTCTAAATAGGGCGACCGCTGATGACGTCATGGTTTACCTTTTTTGTGGATCATTAGGTACCATATGCTAGATACAAATTGACTCCAAACAGTTAAAGAGTTCTCTGAAACTAAGTAATTGATTAGATTTGTAGCTTTTTTAGTGTACTATTGAAGAAGGCTCGATTAGCAGCCGCTGTTCGGGAAACCTCCCAGGGGAGGAGACTCCCTTATAAAAAGAACGGGGGTGTTCGTCGTACCTTTTAGGGGTTAAACAAGCGGTTTTGGTATCTCTTTGGGTGTTCAGCCTCAAAAAGTCCACAGCGAGAGCTTCTGCAGTACCTTTTACGGTATTGAGCCGAAAAAATATCACAGGAGACAATGTGTTGTTATAGAATTGGTGTACTCTTAGGGTTGAAAAATTTTCAAGCCACGCCCACAAAACACGATCTTGGTACCTCTGAGGGGTTCTTTTCAAAACTTCCCAGTAGCATTCCCGTACTCTTTATATGGGAGTACCCCCGGACGCTCCTCTCTTCGGGTAGGCACAGAGACAGGACTTAAGAGGGCAGTGAAAATCGAGCTAAATATTGAAGAGGATATTGGCGTTCAAAACTGAACACGAATTTATTACCGTTGTTGAAGTTCTTTCTTCCTTGTCTTAAAAGAGAGACAGACTTGATTAGTGATCCCCTACTGTCCTATTTTGCTTCGCCCCCCAACCGAACCCATTTACTGTAAAATGATACACAACAAAGCATGAAACAACAAAGAAAGAAAACTTTCAGTAACGAAACCAAATTTATTGAAACTAATCAAATAAAACCTTCATTTTCCTTTGAAACGGGAATATAATGACTCAGTATATAAATGTTTAACTTCGAGGAACTTAGTTTGGGTTGTCACGCAATGCTTCTTTCGCGCTGCGTGATGCATTGCGTGACGCTCAAATGAAGGAATGGCTCAACAAAACAGGGCTTGAATTCAAATACACTTAGGCAACACATTTTGATGAAAATTCGCAGTCTCTAGTTACTTTCAGAATGAATGTATATGTTGTTCTTGTAGATCTAATGAGTCGAAATCCTTTAAAGAAAGTTCTGTCTATTGAATGTTTGTTCTAATAGTTGCCATAACGACCGAAGAACTCAAAGGGCTTGTTTTTAGGAGCACAAGTCGACGTTGTCTTCGGAGATCCCAAAGTGTCGATATCGGCTCCTTTTTCTGTGGGCTTGATCACAACCCCATCATAAGAGCTCATAGAAGGATCTTCTTCAAAGTAGCTAAAGGGCCTCAGATAAAAGCTTGCGGAGTTCCCTGGGGTCGCTGTATTAGGAACATCTTCAGAGTGCATCACGTGCATCATTCCAATGGTTACCCAGGCAACCAGATCTTCATGGTCGATGTTCTCGCCATCAACGAACTTGCTGAAGTCTAACACAGGGTCAGCCATGTCAAGTTGATTATAGATACACGAGCTCTTCTCTTCGCTCTCTTTTCGCTTGGTCACAGTCATTTGGTTCAAAGACCACGCCGCGCCCCTTATCATTGGCCAGTTTAGTGGGTACATCTGTTTCATCATATCCCGGATTTGAACGCGGTAGCCGCGATAGACGCCAAAGCTGTTTTTCTCATTCTTGTTGTAGAAGTTCAACAGGGTGGGAGTCTGAAAATTGTAGTTGTACACGGCGTTATCTTCGGTCGTCCGCACTCGTCGCTTTAGAACCTTCTGCACGTGGTAGTCACCAGGGAACCAAGGATTGGTGATGTTTTCCAGTTCGACCTCAACAGTTTCGTGAGAATTTGTTGTGCCCAGGATGTCCATGTCAACTTTGTAGTTGAAGATGTGGTCGTGCAGGCTTCCCGCCATTTTGGGATGGATCTGATATGCGTATGGGTCTTCGTCTGGGGTATAGAAGGTCGTTTGAGCATAGCCGCTGGTGGTGGTCCTGACCTCCAACACACCATTAGGATAGAAGATGTAATCAAGGACATAATCATAGTTGTATGTTGTTGAGGCCGTGCGCAAGATGAGTGCATTTCCAGGGACCCCACCGTAGAAATTGTAACTGCCTTTGAAATCTGTATCGTAATGTCTACGCAGGGGAATCCCCATGTCCTGTTCAAACACGCAAACGGCGTTCTTGTACACGGCCGGGTCTTTTCGTCCAATGAAATGCGTCAGATCAAAGTATGTGGCCGTGTTAGGACAGTCAACACCACGCAGCAGCTCAAAACTCATGGAGCCCATGTTCCAAGCAGTATCGAGGAAATTTGTGAACATCGGTTTGGGAGCCCAGCCAGAATAGAACGCTTCAGCTTCCTGTGGGCTCAGTTCGTAGACAATCCTCTGATCTTTGAACTTTATGTCAAACAGCTGGATACCGGAAGAGGTGCGAGACCGGAAGTCAAAACTCCAGCCCATGTATTCCACATGGCGTCCGCTGACCGTGTACCGCTTCCCATCAGGCTCGTATATCTGGGGGTTTCTCAGGGGCTTTGGGGGTTGTGGGGGCCCCCGGCGTTCGTAAGAGGAAAACTTCCCTTTATCCGCAGGGGCAGCAACAAACATCTTTGATCCAGCGTTGAAGGCATTCAACAAATCTGTGACATTGTCATAAGTTGCGTTATTGTAAAATATTTTGTCAACTTTCCAGAGTGACACATCATTCCCTCCGGTGTCCAAGAGAATTTCAAACCCGACGGGATGAATGTAATACCCGATCAAGTCCCTCATCAGCCATGTCCAGGTTTTTCGTTGGTTAATCTTGAACGTACTCGGTGCAGCTAGACCCCATGTTAAGCAGCGCTCGTTGCAATCCCACATCTTATAGCCGTCATAACTCTCTTCGAGCAGCGCATCTACTTGTTTGGTCAAGTTGCGTATCATTTTGTCCATTATATCAATCTCTTTAGGGTCGGGGAATCGCGAGTTGAACGGAATCGGATATTTCTGCCCTGGACCAGTTGTTTCTTCATGTTTAGTCGGTTTATCTACCGGGCTCACGAGGTATTCTCTCACATCTGGGACGTTTTTTCCTCCATTGTAGATAATCACTCGAGCCTTGCGCTCGGGTTTCTGGGCGTTGCCATCGAGGTAAGCGAGCGCGTCGGCTTTAGGAGGTTGCTGCAGCTCAATCAAATAAATGTAGTTGTCGTTGATGTTCGCATCTTCATAAGCTTTCACATTCAGGGACGGTTCCTGAATAATGTAATCTCGCACGGCAATGAGTTCGTCTTTCGATAAATCATCGTACAGACCTCTGGAGCGGACCGTAGTTGGTGCTGTCAACTGCGTGGTTTCCGGGCAGAAGTCGTCGGCGCCGAAGGACGAGCCATTTTCCACAGGTTCCTTGTTATTTCTTGTGGCGACCACAATTAATGCGATGAGCAGAGCTAGAGATAATAAAGCGAGAACAGCGACCAGGATTTTCAAGATGAGGTTTGTTTTGTCGCCCTCCTTTGCCATTGTTGTAACAGCTTGCCCAGATCCGTCGGTTGTGACCCCTTGCCCCTTTTAATATAGATAACGTGCACGTACACACAAATACTCCTGTTACAACACACACAGTAAGAATATCAGGCTAACATTACCCCAATCGCAGAAATAATCTCCCAGGGGGACTCCCATATGAAAAGGAGGGGGGGGGGGGTGTTCGTCGTTCCTTTTCGGGGTTAGCGCTTTTGGTACTTCTTGGTATATTCAGCCTCTAAAGATCCACAGCGGGAGTTTTTACAATACCTTTTAGGGCATTGAGCCGAAAAAAAAATGACTGGAGATAATGTGTTGCTTTAGAATTGTTACAAACTTAATGTAAGGGTGAAAAAAATTTCAAGCCACGCCCACAAAACAGGATCTTGGTACATCTAAGGACCTAAGTTGTTCTTTTCGAAATTTCCAACGAGCACCCCCGTCCTTTTCATATGGGAGTTCCCCCCGGGAATAATCTACATATTGAATAGAATTACTTGACACTTTCGCCAGACTGTTCATTCTCTTGAACAATACCGCGGTTCAGTCACGATTCAAACTGTGATAAAGCAACATTGATGAGGCGATTTTCTAGGTGAGGACACTGGGATTTTGAGAAAGGTTACTGTAAGATTCTACATTTTCAGAGCTTGTTTACTATCATCGCCCAGCGCGGTAGTTTCCCATTATCGAGGAGATCACTTCGGCGTGACTAGCCGCGCCGATCTCGGCGCACCAACAATCAAAACACGCAAGCAATACACACGAGCGACACTGCAACGGTTACTATTTTGTTTCTAAAATAGCTTGTTTCAAGTTATGTCGAGGGTAGGAAGACATTGTAAAGCAAAAACCGAAAAATTTCTAGAGAACAATTCCAGACTAGAGAAGGGGTGAAGACAGCCCTCTAGCATTCAAAATCTGATCGGTTTACCTTTGGCCTTTCCTGTCAACACTCGATGTTACAATGTAAAGTCAAGGAGCATTGCTATCATTGAAATTATTTCCAGCATTCTGTAATGGTAAAGCGAAGTAGTTTTGGAATATCAAAATATAGACTTCGCCTTGGTTTGCAAAGCTACTTCTGAGAAGAAATGAAATGAGGTTAGTTTGGGAGAGAAAAACAACGGTTTCAGACTGTACTCGTGTTTGGGTTTTCTTGAAATTTTTCCGCATCAAATTCCGATAACCACACACTCCCCTCTCCAGCCAACTTATAGACTAAATAAGGTTTTTCATTGTTTATCTATTTTTAAGGTGACCTTTCAATTTTACAGTATATGCACGCGTGTCGTACAGTTCTTTCGTAATCATGCATGTCAGTGGTGCGGAACAAAGACCACGGTGTTAAATCGTGACAAAGGGTATTGTGCAGCACTTCAGAAGTAATGCACGCAAGCTAATTCTGTTGAAATTGTGGGACGAATGGGCCATTTTCGATCTAATATGCTTTCAACTTAGCTCCGAGGATTATGGAAATGATGAATCAAAGAATTGATTGATTCATCCCTCAACTACGATTTCATTTTGTTTTACAGCCAAGTTGGAGACAGCCCAGCTGCTGGTACCCTCCCAGGGTCCTCCTAAGCAGACGTTGTTCGGGCTCGTCACGCGTTCATTCTGCATGGCAGGATAAGTTAAGATGGTGGTAGCCATAGACAGAGAAAGCAGAAGATAATCCTCTCTTGTCATTTACGTACAAGACAACATTAGTGTTCATAAAGTTTTTGCGATGTAGATGACAAGAGTTTGAGTCAATTGAAGATGACCTCCAATCGAGTCCGATCCGAGATGAAGTATTCACCTCTCATGGCCAGAGTTTAACATTAAACTCGCAACAGAAGGGTGTAAGACGCATTGTATTGGTATTCTGTTTTTAAGTAAATAAAGACTGTTGTTACGTGGAAAAAAAATAATAACGAAAATGGCATTTCAGCGAAGATTGTTGTTACAAAAAAAAATCACCATCTTCACTTATCATTGTTGTTACAGTTTCAAATTCTTGACTCGTCGGCTGTTTTTTCCCGAGTAACTTGACATTTCAGTATGCTGTATCAATAAAGCCTTGTTATTTTAAACTATCATGATATCAGGTATAGACTGCAAAACAGACGTATTTCTTGCGAACGCGAGAGACGGTCAATTTTCGAACGAAAGGTCTGGAGCGAGTGTAAAAACGGCGAGGAAGAATGGGGAGAGAAAAACGGGCGTGTGAGGCTCGCGCGCTTCACACGCGAGGATCTTCACACGCGAGGATCGCGCCTTTCGAAAACGTCCGAAAACGACTGGTTTGCAGTCCATATCAAGTAATAATTCTGGAGTTGAGCCAAAGGACCTTTGAGGTGCATTCGACGCACTAGCAACTGTCCTGTCAAGAAAATGTGACAGGCTCTACTTGAAAGCGGATATGACCAGACGTCGATCGGTGCGTTATGTAACGAAACATTCACGCGGCAATGCTAAGTAGGAAAGCTCATGGCACTTTGCGAAATGGTACTTCGCAAAGTACAGATTTCGTTTCGTTTCGTTTCGTTTTGCAAAGTACCATTTCGCAAAGTACGATAAGCCAAGTAGGCATCCATTATTCAGCGGAAGTAAGACTAGAGGTATTAACGCTGATTTTCATAAATAAAGTTGTAACTGCTACAGGTCCGTTTCCTTGTCATTGTTATTGCCTAATAACGAACCCGGCTCTTTGCTGTCTGTACTGAAATCAGCTTTAGTAATAATCCCTTTAACATTTTCATCATGGCCACGACCATCATCGACAACGTCATCATCGTCTTTGTCGTTGGTATCGTCGACGTCTCCGTCTTCGTCTTCGACTTCGTCTCCGTCTCCGTCTTCGTCTTCGTCTTCGTCTTCGTCTTCGTCTTCGTCTTCGTCTTCGTCTTCGTCTTCGTCTTCGTCTCCGTCTCCGTCTCCGTCTCCGTCTTCGTCTTCGTCTTCGTCTTCATCAGTTTCCGTAGAATCATCGCTCTCTTCAAATTCGTGTGGATCCGATGATTCCAGTCTCTTTCCTTGCTCGTTATTTCGTTCTTCTTTTAGAACCAGACTAGCAGCCAATTCCAGTTCCTCTAACTGCCAGGACAAGTCGCTTTTATGAATCTGGACCTAATGGACAGGGAAATACAAGGTATATAAACATGATCTGTACGGTTCGAGTGTTTTACACCAAATTTAATATTCTACTTAAGAAAGGTTGAAAACAGCCTTTGCTATTACGCCTTTAAAATATCTGGATTCCGTTGGGGCAATGTGCAGTATAGAATGCAGAACAGCCGTTGCAATGGGAACAACACAGAAGCGAGTGTAGAGGCAAAGATATACCTAACTCGCGCCAATAAATCAAAAGCTGCACAAGCTTACTATTTCAAATTGTATAAACGATTACCGAAACCATTCCCTTGCCTCGTTGTCTCGTCACACGAGACTCTCGTGTAGTATTAAACGCGAGATAAGTTAGTCTCTTAGCTAAATTGAGGGAAAGGCACTAATTTGTTTAAGTGCTCTAGAATGTAACTGGAATTTTGATTACCTGCTGAAGGCCTTGCGCTAAAGAAGAAAGCTTCTTGCGGCTGTTCCAAGAGAAAGACGAAAGAAAACGATATCAAATATACTGACCACTGAACCACATCATCACTTGACCTTAATAGAATAAAATACAACACCGTTACAATCGTTTGAAAAAAGCCCCCTCCCCGCCCGAAAAAAACAGTAAAACAAAAAAGTTTGTGCTTTAAGCTAGAAGCTTGTGGGGCCCTGTTTATGGAACAAATACTGACAAAAACAATGCATACAGAAGCAGCAAAGGCTGACTAGCTGGCCAGGTGAAAGGCGGGATGCCCGGACTTACCGTCCAGTACACTACGCTAACCTGCCTCCGTTGGAAAGGATAACAAAACTCAAAAAGAAATATTAAACAGGTTGCTACCTGGCTTTCTGTATCCAGACACAGTAATCGGTCAAGTAAAGTTCATTTAGCAGAAACCAAGGGTCCTCCTCGCGACACAGGGAGTGGATTTCCAGTAAACACTTTAACAGCTGTCTACGACCTAGGAATACAATATAAAAGGCATTGATAATGGAGGGCATGTCCCAAGGATAGCACTCTTGTACACAGTTGCTTCACCCAATTTCCCTCAGGGGATAGTTACCCCATCACACGAATTACCTCCCAATGCAAAGTTGCCTCATCTTAAAGTCAAAGCTGCTCATATTATTGTCCCATACTTCACAGTTCCTCATCCCATCTCATCTCCCTGCAAAAAGCTCCCCTTGTGGAACTTTTGAGGCTGAACACCCTGAGAGGTACTAAAACTGCTTTCTAAACCCCCAAAGGGCACGACGAGCACCCCGCCCTTTTTATATGGGAATCCACCCAGGGAATTCATATTCCTCTGTTCACAGTTATGTCGCCCTTGAGATTGTTCTCCAGTTCAGCCTCCCACCCTTCAGTCCCCTAAGGGTTAGTATACCTTCTCCCTAATGATCATCTCCCATTACATGGTCACCCCATCCCAGGGGTTATTTCCCAACTTGTAGTCCTCATCCCTTACATTGTAATTCCCTGGGGTTCTTGTATCCTCTTTGCCCCAAGGATTATTTTTGGATACTAAACACGGTGTCCTAAAGCAAATCCCACTTGTTGCAAAGTTTGTTCCCTGGAACAAAATCTGGATTTTTTAAAATTCACTTTTGAACTTGCACACTTCAACTGGAATAAAAAGGTTACACTGTAAATGATACTTTTAAGAAGTATGACATTTACAAAATTGAATAGCCTGTGAACAGGCTCCCGGTTGGTTTTAGAGCAAGCTAGCCGAGTGTAGTCTAGGGCGAGCGGGACAAGCTGAGAGCGGTCTGGTGACGAGGGACCCACTCGCTTCGCTTGCAGATTCACACTCCAACTCCCACTCGCTTCGCTCACTGAATCACGCTTTCGCATGCCAAATTTTTTTTCCGCCCTCGCTGGGAGCCTGTTCACAGGCTAAAAATTGAAGTACGGTGGAACCTTGTTAATCCAGTCACCAAGAGGCCACACAAATCTGGCCATATTAACCAGGTGGCCGTTAAAGGCAGGGTTCCACTGTAACTGCATAAATCTAACTCACATACCAAGTGTGAAGATTCTCTTGGTGTCCTCTAAAACTGCCATGACCAGTGACCAGTGGCGATAGAGAGGATAGGACAATGAGCGACGGACACAAGATATCACAACATCATGAATGCTACTAAAAGACTGGAAACACACAAAAAAAATCTGGTATCATGACCATCATTACTGCCACATTAGCTAAATTCAAGGATTGCAATTTGTAACATACTATAAATATCCTTGTACGAAAAAATATTCCACCTATTTTTCTAAAAATTGCGGTCCACCCCCAACCCCCCCCCCCCCCCCCCCCCCCTATTCCCCACCATTTTTCTTTCTTTTCCTCTTTCCCAGGATCATTGTAACAATCAAAATCAAAATTTTCAACAGAAAGTTTTGTTACAGTTGTAGATGACATCAACCTCTCTGAAAAAACCATCTTGTTACAACTTCAACGACATTCCAGAGTTTTATGTGAAGTAGATGTCAGAAGACTTCAAACATTGTCCAGACTTACAGACTCTTTACGCAACTTGCAAATTTAGATCTTTGGGATGGGGTTCACAGTTTTGGCTTCTTAACCTTGAAATGTGCTGGACCTGTACAAGTTTTCAATTACAATTTTTCTTACCTCAAACCATGAGAATGTGGAACTTATTCTGGAAATAGTCCACGGTGATTCAACCTGGAAACAACATATTAAATAATAATAATAATAATAATAATAATAATAATAATAATAATAATAATAATAATACTAATGCTACTACTACTACTACTACTACTAATAATAATAATAGTGGAAGGCACCCTCTGGTCCAGTACATTTGAGAGCTACATTGCAGTACACTATAGAAAATTTAGGACCGAACACTGATCTTTGTGTTTACTGTTGTGATCTTAAGCAAGATGAAAAGTTTTGTTAAGAGTTTCTGCCTGTAAATTTTTGGATCAGATTAACTAACTAAGGGCTGTCATTAGAAGCCAGCAACTGATCATTATCACTAGCAACTATCTCAAATTCTTGGCATAATTCTAGTTTTGTTCTGCAGCCAGATTCTTCAAAATATTCTATAACATATATCTCTAGCAAAGCTGTGCTATCAAACTCACTACACTGTACATAAGTGTAGGGAAGTTTAGAGAGCACTTTAAAGAAGTATAATATTATGTTGTTCTTGGCCACACACAATTCTGTGGTTAAAAACTCCTCCCACTACTACTAACCACCCAAAACTGTAGTCTGGTTATGGTAAATAAACAATAGCCTCCATCTGGCACAAAAATATACTTGAATATTTGTCTGCAGGCATTACATGTTTCTGTTCCAAGAAGTCAAAATGGAGGTGATTACCATGTTTATTATCCTTCAAATATTTTTGGCAACACCCAAGATCTTTGGACAACTGGGGAATATGACTTGGATATTCACCAGTTTTAGCTGGGGAATATTTGGTCACGTGACGCATTTATAACCACTAATTATAACCACTAATATGAAATTATTAAGTGTAGGACTATGAAATATTTACCGTATTTTCTCCTTCTGTAGTCCGATGATTATATGTGTATGCGTAAATAATGTCCACAAGACCAAGGAACAGTGGAAACTCCTCTTTGTCATCTAGAAGGTTTGAACTTAGTTAAGGTCACGTTACAGTTTATCTTTTATGGGGTAGCAAATAAGAGTGAAATATATTGCTTCCAGTATATTATTTGAAGAAATTTAAAAATGGGGCCAAAACTATGGTTAAAAATTTCATCAGCCAGTAAAAATGTACAAAATGTAAGGTAATATTTATTGTGATTTATTTAATAGCCACAAAAGTTATGAAATGTTAATTTAATATGTAAAGATTGAATAAGAATTTGGAGTGTAGGTGTTTGTAGAGGAAGGAAGAACAAAGAACCTGAAAAACGCCTCTGTGTAAGCTAAGAACCAACAACAAATGTACAGTGTAATGCCAAGTCTGGGATTTGACCACATTAGTAGGAGGCAAATACTCTCACAACTGNCCCCCCCCCCCCCCCCCTTGGAAAAATGCTTGACTGTACATGTAAAGAAAACCTTTAGGTGACTCCTACAAGTCACTCTACAAAGTAAAAAGCCTGAAAATCCTTTTAAAAAAATGTAATTAAGGGTTTTCAAGGATAAGGGCTTGTCTGAAAAGACAGGATGAACAATGTTTTGGGGAAATTTAAATGCAAAATTACAAACTGAAATTAGATTTCCAGCAAATTAAAACTACAGAACAAGAATAGTACAGAACAGTAACAATTTATTAAAATTGTATTTAACATTGTAATGTTGCACCCTAAAGGATATAATCCTTATTTGGAAGCCTTCTTAACCGGTCTTTCTCTTCATCTGTAAACTGAACTGAATAAAAACAAAGTTGGCTCAAAAAGATGCTTTTATTTAATTATAATAACCAACCTTAAGCTGTTATTCTACTCACCTGATAAAATTAATGATATTTTTTAAAAAATGTACAAGTACATGGAGATGTACCATAAAACACTACAGGGTTCACAACAATATTATTGTGGTAATTCTTCTCTATACTCGTTGATGTACCTGTTGTCTCATCAGCCCCACTTGAATGTTCTGTTTTATCCTGCAAAATAATTTAACAGAAAAGAAGACAGTATAATCACCGATCAGTATTGATAAAAATGTTTACAACATTTTGGAGAAGCAAAACTGAAGTACATGTAAGCTGCTAAATTTCAATAACTTTTTATTATTAATATAAATAAAAAAGTTGAAAGTAGATGTCTTGGGAAAGTTTTCATTTTAATAGATGTCACGTCTGGGACAAAGGAAAAAATCTAAGATCTTGACAGAGGTGAAACTTGTGACCTTCATCACACTGGGCAGATGATACAACCACCGAGTGAGACTGGTGACAAGCCACAGGTCATTTACTATGTCCCTTATGACATGCGTCCAGCATGCCAAGTGCAAGAGGATCACCAAATTATGTCAAAAGTGTCCTGCATTTTTTTTTTTTGCGCTAAATGATAGTTTTCCTAGCTCTTTCTGTTATAAACATTTGTTTAATTCATTAGCTTTGCATGTATGCATGTAAGTACAGTGTAGCTCTTAATTAAGTCTTTCTTGTATCTTGTTACATGAGTGCATACAGTGGTACAATGTTTCTTGTAAATGTTGTACTGGTTCAGAAACTAATTGTACCATGGACAAAACTGAACTATATGTACAACATAAACAAATGAAAAACTAATTCTTACTAGCCTTTAACAATTCACATAGCTGCAAATGAAATGTACCTTGGAAAGATTTTCGTTGTATCGCAGATATTCAACCTCCCAAGGTGGCTTGTAGTCCAGGAGATGTTGAATTTGATCTTCATTGAAATAATCAGCCCTGATTTTGTTAAAAAAAAAAAAAACATATTTACAATTATATATCAAAGGTGAGTTCCGGGGTTTTCATTAGCAGATAGTTGGGCATAACCCAGAGGCTAGTCTAATGAAATTAAAGTGTTTTCTTACTATTTATCTTTTTTAAATTTATTGTTCTCACTACCTTTATTACATTTGAACCTTACTTTACAGACACCCTCATAATATGGATGTCCCATTATGGAAAACTTTGGTTTTGGTCCTAACTTAGATATTTTCTTGTAATTAACTCTCTTGTGAGGCTTCAGCTGAAAATAACACTGGAATATTTTGTTTCGTTTCGTATGTATATTGTTTGTATAACTGAATTACAAATCCTTCACAAAGCTGTTCTTGTGTTTTTTTTTGTTTTTTTTAAGTCTCGAAGATCTTTACACCTTGGGTTCCCAGTTTCATTTATAATAAATCCCTTACAGATAATATTCCTCATCAAACTTGATGTCCTCAGCTGCAAGCCTGGCTTCTCGTCTTTCTTTCAGGGTCATAGAGTCAGGATCAGTTATCTCTGATATCTCATGAAGTTCTGCCTGTTGTTAAATAACATAAATTACATACATTTACCATAAACAGCATGACGTCATCACAATAACACATTCAGTTATTTTGTTAAATTGGTCTACTTAGTGTATGCATGATTTGTATAATTCTTACAAAAGAGTCTTGATTGTTTGAATGCTAAGATCAGTTGGATCATCATCATCATCATCACAACAATCACCATCAGCATCATCCATTCTTGTTGCACCATGACACGCCCAAGGCCTCAATGTCAGTTGGATGCTATAGTTTCCTGTTAGTAATCCCTCATAAGACTGTCAAATTTACATGCCCTGCTGTAATAGCATCACTACATACACTCTTTTGGAGCATAAGTGATAAATTAAATGGACAGTGATACTACGCATTCAAGTAAAACTGTAAAAAATAACTTACAGCTCTGCTACTTTTGTCACAAATTATCTCAACAAGGTAAAAGGGTCCTTTCTTTGTTTCACTTGCAAGGCAGTTTGTCCCAGCAGCATTTTTATTTCCAGTTCATACTCACTTCCCGTCCTTTAAATATTCCACTCTTTTGATTGGCAAATCCATATTTTGTATCCCCAAGGCTGGTGTCTGGATTTTCCTGAAGGATAAATTAGGGAGATTTTTTAGTCAATGTAACATGCATGCTATGTACAATAACAAAGGGTAGAAATTTACTGGTATGAAGCAATACTTGCTCTGCTGTTAAAAATGCACTTCTAAAAACAATTTTTTCACTTTTGTGCAAAAATCAAAATAATGTAACGCTTGAGTGTTCTAAGTAAACTTTTTATAAGGCAAGTGTGCAATGATTTCATACATAATAATACTACCTGATGCAATGTTGCCAACTGTTGATCAAATTCCCAGTCAAAGTTATTGTAATCATCATCATCATCATCATCATCATCGCTGCTACTCTCATTTTCTTGATTATTGTCTTTACATCTGTCATCACTGCCTTCAATACAATAGATTTATCAAAACTCAATAAAACATAGTAACCCTGAAAACAGTAATAGGTAGCATGTTGAACTATGCGTCATGGCATCTGGGTTTGAGTGCTGGGAGGAGTCATTTTGCTGTGCAATCTTCAGCATGGCGCTTAACCTCCCACATAACCTCACTTGTAATAATTTTATAAAGAAAATGCAGAAACGACATTGATAATAGCATACCAACAACTTCAATGAGGGGTTTAATTCCCACAGGGGACTTCTTTCTTGGTGCCAAAAGTGTTGTTAATAGGTCCAGGTTCTCAAAGGTCTCTCCAGGATGTAGCTTGGGAAGCTTAATTGTGAATGTCCCTGCAGTATTGAAAAATTGGATTCTTTATTCTACAATGCCCTGGCAATAACGTATTTGGTGGTAAACCAGCCGAAGTTCAGACCAATCGTGCTCAACAGGGCTCACAAAAATTGTTGTCCAGTCGTCCCAGACAAGTAGATTTTCCTGCCAAGCAAGTAACGTTTCAGTCTTACTTGCCCGATGGGCAAGGGCCCAGGCAAGTCATCTGCTAACTAAACAAAAAAAACTAAGACTTGCCCAGGACAAGCAAAATTTGAGAGCTGCTTGTCCAAAGGGTGAACTCGAATTCAAGTTAGTTTCAAGCCCTGCACAAGCGATAATATTTGATGGTTGACAATTTTGGATAGGTAAGCTTGGTTGCACATACAGTCGAACCTCTGGTTGTCACAACCTCTCATAAGCAGCCACCTCTCCTCAGCGACCATGAGTAATTCCATAAATAAAGACCATAAATACCAAAAGTTTCCAAGTCAAATCACCATACATGTATTTGGAACCTCTTGTAAGTGACCACCTCTCATAAGCGACCACGACCACTTTTAGAGCTAAAAGTTTGACATTTTCCTTTGTTTTTAATCTCCTGTAAGTGACCACTTGACAGATAATAAAGGGGAAATAAGATAATAAGGTGTGGTAACCTTATCGCATATTTCCTGGGTAGTACAGGAGATGAAAATTTCTCACTGAGAAGTACCAGATTTTTACTTGAAATTGACTTTTCACTTGAATAAAACATTTATAACATGGGGTACGTATCTGCAGTTAGTATAGGTAATCATACGGTTTTGAGTTCAATTTGGAATTAATTTGCACGAGTGAGTTTTTCAAAAAGCTGAAATTGCATGAGCCGCTTCGGCGAGTGCAATTTCAGCTTTTTGAAAAACTCACAAGTTCCAAATTCCAAATTGAACGAGAAAAACCATATGATTACTTATTAATAATATAAACCATGAAAAAATTTGCGTGGAGGAAATGCCAGAAAATCTTTCTTGAAGCCATTTTTTCTCATTCGAGAAAACTTTTTTCAAAGTTTCCGCACTAAATTTTCGTCATCATTTTATGTGATAACATTGGCTTAGAAAATTCCCTATTTTCTTTTAGCCAATCACAATCTAGAATTGCGATGTGTAACTTGCACTGGTGTTACACTTTTTGCACTGGTGTTACACTTGAACTGCACTGCTCTCAGCTAATCAGAATCGAGTAATTTTTTCATGTATATTATTGTCATAATTATTCCAATGACAGAAGCAAAATTGTGGCCCAGTATGGCCTGTTAAGCTCTTGTAAGCGACAACCTCCCATAAGCAGTTTCTGGAGGTTCGACTACCATTAGTTTGTTTAATCTGGCTCAGCCAGGCATTGCAAGACTGAACCATGCATCCTTGCACTATTTCTGCTTACTGCCCAGCCCAGGGGGGTACTCACAGTATACATGATGGGGGGCAGGGGGTTTGACAGAGCCTTATATCGTGAACCCAAAAAAATACCTGGTATCAAAATCTCCTACCCAAAAAAACACAAGACTTAAATACCTTGGCACTGGTTTATTCAATCAAACAGACTCTTCTAATGAAAGATTTTACATCAATAAGCTAATGAAATTAGTATGCCCATTAATGCCTCTTCGTCCTCCCTTGTGCTCCACATAATCACACAGGTCCTCACTGTAACACTACAGTATTAACTACTTAATAACCGAGAGTGAGGTCGTTACGGGAAAATCTCAAACTGAGGCCTTGCCGTATTGAGCGAGCGATAGCGAGGTCAATACGGTAGGCCGAGGTTTGAGATTTTCCCGTAACGACCGAACAGTCGAGGTTATTAAGTTGTTTATTGTATGGCTCATGAATTAAGGAAAAGAAAAAAATTATTGGAGCGGAAGTCGTCAATTTACATCCGGCGATGCGCGCGTTTACCGATTCATTCATCGTCTCAAANACTTAGCGATTTTAGCTTTACCAGACTCGGTAAACTTTGATTGTTTTTCACCAGTGCCCGCCAAGGTTACCGGTACGTCAAAAACGACTTCTATATAAATTTTATTAAGGAAAAATCCTTCAACTTTTAGCTACTCGGAATTAAATTTACTTCTCTTACTGTTTCTAATCGGCTTTCATCGTTTCAATGCGCTTGAATTTTCAGAGCCGGGCTCTTCCCAATTTGCATAATCCGTAATCGGCCCGTGGGCATTACGGCTGCATAATGACCGTTCAGATCTCGCTCTTAGCCAATCAGAGCGCGCGTTATATCAGCCACAAGCCAAAGCCATACAATAAATTGTTTTTAAGACCTAAAAGAAAACTGTGACAGATCTTTTGACCGAAAAAAATACCGAGGGTGTAAATTTTCAACCCAAAAAGTATGTCCGAGTACCCCTACTGGGGCCCACAGTACATGTACTGTTGCAACCAGACTTCATTTCTTTACCTTTCTCAACATCATATGATGCTGACTCCCTTCCATCTTCAACAATCTCTCCTGGTAAATTAAGCCTAAGACAAAAATACAATTTTAAGCAAAATTGATCCAAAGTATTGATGTCTCCTGAAGTCTTGCCTTGGCTTACACTTAACTAGAGGTCTATATCTATACTTTGGCATTTCAAAGAAATCAGATGGCCATACATCAGTGTATTGTATGACAGTTATGTCACCGATCAGAGATCTTAGCGAGACAGGGTGGAATGTAGGGCCAAGCTCAGGTGTGTGAGTTACTGAGTGGGGAATGTAGATCATTTACAGTAGCCCCCAAGTTAATTAATCCCTAGTCAGTTAGGATCATGTGTACTAATGGCATCCATGGTCGAGTGTCGATCGATACTCTTGATCAATACCCTTGATAGGCTTCTTGATCAAAACTTGATTGACATCCTGATTGATACTCGGTGGAAACTCTTTTGACACTTGACCAACAGTTGGTTGATAATCGGCTGAGTACTGTCAACCGACTCATTTGCATTGATCAAAAATTAGTCAACTCTGGACCGACTGGCGACCGAGATGTCGATGGAGTGTCAATTGAGTATAAATCAAGGGTATTGAGCAACACTCGACCACGGATGTCTTTAGTACACATGATCCATCAGTTAGACGTTAGCCCCCAAATAAGACTTTTATGCTATACCGTGCACCAACATGAGAGCAAATATGTGGAGGTTTTGCACCTAGTTGTGTTCACCCCAACCATCCGCTCTCCTATTCACTAGAAATAGTCAGTGTATTCGACCTCTGGTTGGGAGCTAACCGACTAGTGGATAATTGGCTTTGAACGAATGAATGATTGAAAACTTTATTAACGTGTCAGTGCATTTAGCCATAGATTAGCTATTAAATTGGGGACACCTAACTAAAGTCAATAGCTAATAACTAGTTTACTAAATGACTGGATAATAGTATCCCATGCATAGTATCCCAAATTTTGAACGCTGTGGCTACATGTCCAGCAGTCGGACAGGTTTTTTAGAATACTCCGTGTCCGGCAGTTAGACTTAGAAATTTTTTTATTAATTAAAACACCGCAAAAACAACTTTAAGACAGGCGACCCGAAGAGGAATTGAACCCGGGTCGCCGGCATGGCAAGCGATGCTCCTAACCACTGCGCCACAACAACCGGCTGGCATATTTCGGAATTTTTTAATTATTATAGAGTTACCCTTAGCATTATTGAAAGCTAACCGTACACAGGCTAACCGGAGAGCTATTTAGGCTAACTGGAGTGCTATTCAGGCTAACCGGAGTGCTTTTTAGGCTAACTGCAGTGCTTTTTAGACTAACCGCAGTGCTTTTTAGACTANGTGTCAGTGCATTTAGCCATAGATTAGCTATTAAATTGGGGACACCTAACTAAAGTCAATAGCTAATAACTAGTTTACTAAAATAACTAGTTTACTAAATGACTGGATAATAGTATCCCATGCATAGTATCCCAAATTTTAAACGCTGTGGCTACATGTCCAGCAGTTGGACAGGTTTTTTAGAATACTCCGTGTCCGGCAGTTAGACTTAGAAATTTTTTTATTAATTAAAACACCACAAAAACAACTTTAAGACAGGCGACCTGAAGAGGAATTGAACCCGGGTCGCCGGCATGGCAAGCGATGCTCCTAACCACTGCGCCACAGCAACCGGCTGGCATATTTCGGAATTTTTTAATTATTATAGAGTTACCCTTAGCATTATTGAAAGCTAACTGTACACAGGCTAACTGGAGAGCTATTTAGGCTAACTGGAGTGCTATTCAGGCTAACCTGAGTGCTTTTTAGGCTAACTGCAGTACTTTTTAGACTAACCGCAGTGCTTTTTAGGCTAACCGGACAGCTATTCAAACGTTTTGACTGCCGGTCACTTTATAATAGTCTACGTTATAAATCCCAATATACCGGGTGCCGGGCTCACCAAAATTAGTATTCAGCCATATAAACAAGGATTTGACATTGTTAACTAAAAGTTTTAAAAAATAATTTTGACTGCCGGACACGGAGTATTTTGAAAAACCTGTCAGGCTGCCGGACATAGAGACACAGCGAATTTTAAAATAGTTCAAGAGCAAAACTTATAACTTATGTTTATTTGTCACATGCTTACCTTAGGAAGTATGGCTTGACATAAAATTTAAATTCCGTGTCGTTAATGCAGAAATCGACATCGGCAGGCTACAGAATGATGCATATCAGTTAAAAAAAAAATACATTCGAGAGAGTAATGCTAACCTAAAGTTAAGACGATCGATATATTTTGCAAACAGAAACAATTTTCCCACGTGCATGAAGTGCTCACAATATGATTCCTTATCATTCATACCTTGACATACGGAGTCTTGATGATGACTACAACAAACTCATCATCTTGGCTCAGTTCAAAGACTGGAGTAAGCATTTTTCATCGGACTATCCTGAATCCAGGACCATTGTTGAACTTTGCTAGGCTCGGAAAGTTCTAACATTTGTCAATTCGTCCAACTTCACCGCCATCTTGTTTTCCAGACTTCTCGCGGTCTTACCTTACCTTAGAATCCAGACCTCCAAGACAAGTCGACCTGAAGATTTAACCTCTTTCAAGAAATTTTTGTGGAGCTTTCGAACGAGAACTATTCACAACTTTTTAAGATAAAAAAACTCTTAGATTGATGTTGACAAACGCCGAATTCCACTGAAAAGACGTATGGCGTAGAAAAGCCCGTGCAAATTCGTGCAAACTAAACGAGGTAATTAATCCTTAATTAAGGAGCAAATGGAAAACCAGAACTGACCCACGTGGGACAAAAGTGACTTCAAATTGACAGGTCTGAAGAAAAATCCTTTTTTCCCTGTTATATAAAAGCGAAAAGGGAACTTTCGTAACTCCACCATCAGACACCTGTTTAACAAAATAAAATAAAAAAATAGCTTTGAACAGTAAAAACAACTAACAAAGTTTGAAAAAGATTTCATTCATGTTTGCCAGGACAATTAAAAAACAACAACTAATGAGGTATGATATAAAAAAAAGCCCGTGCATTGAAGCAACCAATGGACGGAGCGTATTTTCCCACGTGGTGAAGAGGTTAAGGGCGCAGTTTGCAAAACTTTATTCATTCATCGCGAGGAAAGATGACAAACACCGCCACAACATTGTGTTGACGCAAAATATTTGCTTAGAAAAGTCTAGTTTTCCTTCCTTGGCCAACTATTTTAAGTTGTGACCGCCGTAAACAACAGTTTCAAAGCTGCTGAAGCTAAGTGAAGAGAAAAAAAAGGTCAGTTTATTTATGTTATTTTGCAAATTTTAAAAGATTGAATGCATGGAACTAAACCACTCATGTGGTAACACCCAAGAAACTAATTTTGCAGCCCGGAATGTACTTTACGTAAAGGTTTTCGTGCATAACATGAAAAACGTTTCTTTTACTGATATGTGGCGTTTCTTCTTTTCATTTCACAGAATTTTTCACCGAAAATGAGAGAAGTCTGACATCAATATGTTGCAGCTTCATACTGAAGCACGCTTCTACGGCCATGTTGAAAAACTACAGCGTGCCGCGTTCAAATCATCCAGTCCCCGAGTTTTTAAGGTGAAGCTTTATTCCATTGTTATCACAAAACAAAAAATTACACTTTTTCCAAACAATTTCTCAAGGTTCTTTTCATTCATAATTTAAAAATTAAGAAAAATGTTTGCTGTAAGCTTGAAGATTTTTAACCAGTCGTGGAATTTCTCTCGCGGGAAATGCAGCTGTTGAATTAAACGAGGAATATACCTCGTTTCTGGGGATTAGACAAATTGAGTAAACTTTTTAGAAAGGTTAAATCTCTCTGTGAGAATTCCTTCACTATTTTTTTTATTATTATTATTATTATTTGGGATTTGTTTTTTCTGCTTAGCAAATTTTGGCGCCTTACTCCACTTTTAGTGAAAGCTCTTTTTCATGGTTAAATGCGAGCTACCAATTTTTTTAAGCCAAAATTCTTGAAAGCATGCCGCTTTACTAATTATCATTTAAAAAATTTGCTTTTGACAATTTTGAAAAAAAAGTTTTATTTCGCTCCGTACAATTCTTCGTAAATGTTTCGTTGTAAATTGTAAGGCCCACGCAAAAGAGGAAACATTTGCGCGGAAAAACTGCAGCATTGGTACGGAAAAAGCCTTCTACCGAAAAACAAAAAAAATGTTTCTGAACCTTTTTTTCTGATAAGATTTACTTTGGCATCAAAAATTGCGTGTGCGAGTAAACGAGAAAACATTTTGGAATCAATCAGTACGCGATAGGCCTTTTCACGGTTTTCGACGCCATTGCAAAGCGCTCAGAAATTACAGTGTTTCCCGATGGCAAATAACTTTTTCCAAAATTGAATTTTACACAATTTGTGAATCAAAACCTTAAAATACTAGGTAGAAGATTGTATTCACCAAGTTTGAAGGATGTAGCTTGGCTAGAAGACGCTCAGTTAACTTTTCTAATTTTCATACATTTGTTAACAATTTTTTTACCCAGCCAAATTTTACAAATGTATGGAAAATTAGAAAAATTAACTGAGCGTCTTCTAGCCAAGCTACATCCTTCAGACTTGGTGAAGACAATCTTCTACCTAGTATTTTAACGTTTTGATCCACAACTTGTGTAAAATTCAATTTGGAGAAAGTTATTTGCCATCAGATTCCCGTACAAACACTGTAATTTCTGACCGCTTTGCATACCCGTCAAGATGGCGTCGAAAACCGAGATAAGCTCTATGTTACCTCGTGGCTGTAAACAGTGTTCAGTTTGCTTTAATTTCTTAGACTCTTGATGTAATAAATTCCGCCGGCAAAAGTTAGAATTCTCGACAACATACTTGGGAAGAGTTAATTGAAACAGTTGCTCTTTCATTTGAAATACTACAAAAGTTGAAATACACCTGTCTCCACACCTTTAATATCACGACAGGAGTGTTATGTTTTTTTCTCTTTTGTCAGCTTTCCTTGGTCTCCGATGAGCATTACTGCCCAGTCCAGTCAGACCGCTTCAGTACACCACAGTTACCACTTCTGGCCTCAGTTCTCCTCAGCCCCACCGTTCAAGTAAAGACCTGGCTCCTACCATTTCGACTCTGATGGGGACATTTTAAGATGTGGTGATGATGGAGGGGTGGGAAAGAAGAAGAAATTAAACTCTTCTCTTTTCTCCTTTCCATTGTCAATCGATACTTACGATTTCCTCAGATGAGAAGACTGGGAACGAGTCAGAAAGAAGATTCTGAAGGAAGACATTGTAAATACGTTGGTTGGTGAATTCCTTGTGGGTTGGGAGGGAGGGTTAGATAGAGCTCTGGATGAACCTTAAAACCAAATTTTCGGCCAGAAGTCATTGTACTTCTGATTCGGTATAATTTAATGTAGTTAGATTAGTTAGCTGGGCCCCTGGCTTTGGTGTGGGTCTTCCCTCTAGGCTGTCCATTTGGGTTTTCTTTCAGGTTTATTCGGCTAATTTTTCAACTGGAGTTCGGCTTTACATCGGCTTTTCTTCGGCACTACTTCGACTTTTTACATCGGCCCTACATCATCTTCACATCAGCTCTACAATGGATCAATAGTTTTCTTTTGACTTGACTTTACATTCGACGCGCCTCCCCGCTTAGTTACATCAATGAAACTAATTCTTTCAGTTTTACTTGATGACAGAGTCCAAGCACTGTGATCTAGTAAGACTCTTTCGGCAAAACTATTTTGGCAAACAAGGTTCAACCAGACATGAACTTATATTGTAGGAAATGGCCATTCAACTGCATGGAGGAAGACTTTGTTTGCTTCTCCTCAGTTTAGTGGTTATTACTGTAATTAAGACATAACTTTTAAATGGGTTAAGGGACAAGACTATTTCAGTTTTTAGGACTTGCAGATCTTATGGGAATTGGGACAGTGCACACTGAACAAACAAGCTTAGCACTTTCTATGAGATCAAAAAAGACAATTACAGCTCAAAAAGCAGTCAAATTATTTGCTTTGTTTCTTCAATTACATTGTTGACTGGATTTTTTTAAAAAATTAACTTTTGGAAAAAAGACAGATCTAGAAGATTGTACTGTACTCAAGTAGAAAATTGACACTAGTGATAGACAACATTGTCTTTTGCCAAAATTTGAGGAATTTGAGAGAGTATTGCATGTATAAGATAGCATGATTACTGTAAACCAACAGCTATTTCAATTATCGTTGGCATTCAAGCTTCAAGAAAACTGTAACAAATTTGACCTGAGTTTCACTTAAGCATGCCACTCAAGAGTAAAATACCGATATATCACTTGCGATCTCAGTTCTACCTAAAATTTCTACAAGTTCAAAATACTCGTGGAAGCATTCCTTCTAGTCTCATCTTTGAAGCTTTTATAAGCCAACACTTTTTGAAAGGGCTGCTTATCTAGGTCCTGCACAAGCCTGCCTGGAGGATCAACCGTGGATTGCTAGGGGCCTGGATGGGGTAGATACATCTACTGACAGTCACAAAATTGACAGGATGCAACTCATTTTAAACACCAATTGTCTATTGTCAAACAAAAATCTTGACAGTTTTTAACAGCTGCCTGAGTTAGAACTGTTGGCTATATGCCTTAGCATTCGTTTCTTGTGTTCTCAGTCATTAGGTTGCTGTTCTTGCTAAAGGATAATTGTCTGATGTCATGCATACAAAATGTTGACAGTTAAACAGCAACAACCAATCATAAGGTCATTCTCAGCTACATTTTACAGTGAAATTTCTGTTGATGTGAAGTAAAAAATAACAAATCTAAAAGAAAGAGCATTATATAAAAGAAATTTCCCTGCTTGAGGCCATTATTGTCTGTTTGATAAATTGAGAGCTGTCAGTTAAAACATCTGGCTATTTTTTAAATTACAATTTACATATTTCAGGAGCAATGTTTGTGAGTTGAACTCGCAATACATTTTGGAAGCTGTCNGGGGGGGGATCAGCAATTTGCACAGTTGTGCATTGATCAAAAGTTCAAAATGTAATCATAATAATATTACACAGGTAGGTAATTAACAACACCTTGAATCACACCAAACAACAAGGATGTTTCTTTTACGATCAAGCCCATTTTCGGGGGCAAACTTGCGCTTGAGTACACTCTTCAAAAGTTCTAAATGATATAATTTAATATAATGCAGGTAAGTAAGAACACCTTGAATCATGCCATACCGTGTTAATGCTCTCAGTATCTTCGATTCACAACAAGCTCAATTTCGGGGGCATGGCATGCTTTCTTTGTTGACCTGTTGGTGTAGCGGGCAAACTATACATGTAATGCATTGCTGTCCATTGTTCAATAGTTCAATATGTTACAATAAACTATGCAGGTAAGAAATTTCACCTCATGACAAACACCACAAACCAATTACTCAGAGTTTTCTTTCAGGATCTTCAATTTACTGGTATGGGCCCATTTTCGGGGGCAATCATTCTGGCAACACCTCAATCCACTTTTGGTGTATCCAATTTATCATTTAGCACAGAATGATGTAATTCATGTAGCAAAGAATGATGTAATTCACTGTAAATGGCAACAAAACAAACAAAAAGCAATAAAAATATGTCAAATTAAACATTGTAGTCTTTGGTACTTTTTTAAACACTCAAATAATGTAGTGGTATTTAATTTACCATAACAAACACAAAAAACAATGTAATCAATGCTTTTGTAATGCTTTCATGGAGTCTTTTACAAGCAATAAAAATTCAAAAACATGGTAGTTGATGTTATTTTCTTGAACAGTTTTGATTAGCAAATGTACAGGTGCCAAAGCAACATTTGCTAAACAGCATAACAGTAGAAATAACCAAGTTTTATTTCAGGATCTGCCTCAAATATGGAGCAAGCCTATTTTTTATGTTAAGATTGC